GACTCAGCTTCTGGAGCTGGCCTCCCTTGGAGTTCTGGGGCTTGTAGATGGTCTGTCATCTCCAGAAACAAAGGAGTAAGCCGAGGTACAGCTCTAGATGACAGGCAAACCTAGGTGTGAGGAGAGTAGTGGTGGGGCCAGGACAGAGGTCATTCTTCCCGTTCTGCTTTCTTCTCTGCCTACTCTACTCTTTTTTATTTCAAAAGTGATTGGCTTAAACACACCCTACACTGATATGGCCTCATTAACATAACAAAGAAAACCCCATTCCCAAATGCAATTACATCCACTGGTATAGGGGTTAGGATTTACAACACATATTACTGAGGCACACAATTCAATCCATAACACCTACTAAGTCAAAATCTGCATTTAACAAGACCCTCACGTGATTTTTGTGCACACTGAACTTGGAGAAGCACTGGTTTAGCAATCTCCCTGTCCTTTTTTGTCTCTTTTTCATAACAATGACTTTTTTGAAGGGTCCAGGCTAGTTCTGTTATAGAATGTTTCACATTCTGCATTTGTCTTAGTATATCCTCATGATTATATTCAGATGAAACATTTTTGGTAAGAATAGTACATAGGTAATATTATATACTTATTGTATTACAGTTAGAAGCATAGGTCAAGTTTTCCATTGGTGATGATATGTTTAGTCACCTGAATAAGGTGACGACTGCCAGATAGCTCTTTTAGAAAACATTTTTTCTTTCTTATTAATAAGTGATCTATGGAGTAATACTTTGAAGACATAAATACTCTCCCCTCAATGGTTTTGGGATTCCTTGGCAATCCTTGTCTGAATCTGTTAATGTGCTAGGGATTGAATAATGATGACTATCTCATTCTATCATTCTTTCTACATTTATTGGCTAGCGTTCTTCTGTAGAGAAGAGCTCTCCAGTGGGAGGGTGGTAACAGGTACAAGTGATGGGGCAGGGCATTCCAGGTGAAACAAAAGAGTAAGCCGAGGTACAGCTCTAGATGACAGGCAAACCTAGGTGTGAGGAGAGTAGTGGTGGGGCCAGGACAGAGGTCAATCCAGATAGTACAGAAGAATAGCAGGAAGTAGGACTAGGTGGCAAAGCATTGCTAGAAGAGGCTGAGTGGACAAAATGCCACCCCGTCTTTGGACTAGGAAGGAGATTTTCTAAACCCCTCTCTGAGCCCAACTCCACATTCAGCCCCCCGTAGCCATCTCTTGGGGAAGGAAGACTTCAGATGTTCTTGTTGCCTACGGAGTGATCTTTAAGCCCTTGCTACCCAAATGGTGGCTGGTCTATGGTCCAGCAGCATTGGCATCACTTGGAAGTCATCAAAAACGCAAACCTAAGGCCTTCTTCAATCATGTCACTCCTGTAAGTCTTAGTCAATTCCTAGGTCTTGGGGTCAAGGTAACAACCAAATGAGGTAACCTACAGAAAGCATGTAAAGCATATAACCCCAGGAGTAACTCTCCTTAAGTGCTTAATATATGATAGTCTAAAAATAAAAGAGGCATTTTTGACAAAAGCATCCATGGGCCATGAATCAGAACCCACCTTACAAGACAACGGTGAGGCCAGCAAAGAAGGAGATATGGAATTTCTCCTGAGATATTCCAGACATTAGTTGCCTTTGACAGTTTTCAGTCAAAGGGGGCATCTTTTGGCAAAAGCCACTTGGGAAGCTGATTGCCTCTGCACATCATTGTTCTGTGAAAAGAAATCAGGCTTTCAAAATATTAGAGCAAATTAAGCACATCATTAGGGTCAAGGTAGTATCCAAAATAGCTACCATTTTCAAGCACTTAATAACACTTTATATACAATATCTTATTATATCCACAATGACCCAGTGGTCCTCTAATTATTAGCCTTCTAATCTCAGTGATTAAAAGAGAAAAGGAAACAGTCCTAGGCAGGGAAGAGGATTGGGCTTGGGTGGTTTCACCCGGGGAAGAACAGGTGAAATGTAACCGTTCCTCCCTCCATACACAGGAAGAATGTTGTTTATTGTTGGGCATACCCATTGACACCTACTGCATCTGAAAAAAGAAGCAGCACACATAAATAAAAACAATTGGAAGTATAGCTGGTTGGTAACCATGGGAATGAGGTTTCCTGAGCTACATATGTCAAGTTAGGAGGGTCTATTTGCTTGTGTCTGTGTCGAGCCTATGTGCTTTCTTACTCAAAGTCAAGTTGCTGAGTGTGATGGTTTGCATTTTCCCAGCCAGGACCCAAATCCCCACACAAGATGTAGGAGGCTATTCTAGGACTGGGAGATACCATTTCCAAGGAGGAGCTGATGGATGGTGCCTAGGGCATAAACAGTCCTCAGTAAATTTTAACAGTCAGCGTTTCTTTATACCCTGCTTCTCCACCTCCAAATGCAAGGACTGCTTATCAAAAAAGAAAATGAATTTTTCTATCCTTACCTCTGAAGATGGCATCTCTCCGGGCCAGTGGAAACAGCACCGGGGAATTTCAGCCACTGACTCACGAAAGCCTCAGTTTCCTCCCCTGTACAATTAGCTTGTTGGACTGAAACATGTTGAAGTCCCTCTATGGGTTTGATTCTATGATTCTTGTCCACAACGGGCAGCCAGGGAAAGCTGTGGAGGCCTCACCCCTACAGCTCTTCAAAAATGGGAATAGCACGCCTCTATCCTGTATTCCCTGGGGCACTGGGGAATAATAAAATGTCAAGATGCTTTCCCAAACTAAGATGCTTTGTTTTTGACATCCACCTGTCTGAAGTTAGGAAACCAGAAGTCACGCAGATGACAGGGAGAGGCTTTCCTTGACCTCCAGTATAAATTAGTCTTCCTCCCTGATATTACCTCTTATAACCTTGAAACTCAAAGTAGGGTCTATGGACCATCAGCATCATCTGGGACCTTGTCAGAAATAGACTCTCAAGCTCCACTCAAATCTACTGAATCAGAATTTGCATTTTAACAAGATCTTCAGGTGGTTCGTATGCACATTAAAGTTTAAGAAGTACTATATGTATTGGCAAGTATTTTTCAATGACTGCCTCCCGCACTAAACCATAAAATCCATCAGGGTGTCTTCCAATGACTAACGCCATGGCTAGCACACACCAGGTGCTCATTGAACATGTGCTGAATGAATGGCTCTCTGGTAACTCCCCAACAGCTATTGGCCTCTGAGATGGCTCCATCGGACTTGCCGTTGTAGCATTCTCTCATTGTCCCTGGACACTTCCCTGGGCAGCTAATGAATTCAACAATCTTGGCACCACATTTAAATGTAGATGTTTGCTCTTTGTGCGTTTGCTCGTCAGCCAAATCAGTGGTCATGTTGGCGGTAAATTAAGTGTTCGTTACATTTCGAAATGCTGTTTGCTGTGTTACAGAGGCAACATGAAGGGGAATTTTGTGATGTCAAGTTTTCCTATGAACTGCATGCGTAATTGAAAGACCGCAAGTGTACAGCATAGTTACGTTAAGGATCTCAACTAAAGCAATAAAGTCATAAAATATTAGAGATGAGACAGAAGAAACTTACAGGTCAAGTCCACCTCCCTTCCCCTTAAAAGCTCAGGCCCAAAAGTTTAAACTGACTTCCCGGGAACTCCAGAGCAGTGCTATGCTGGGGCTCTGTTTCCAGCAGGCTTTCTTACCTCATGACCACCCACTTGGGCTGGAGAAGAGACCCATGTATCTCTTCTTCGGAGGAAGGCAAAGGGCATAGCTCCTAGAGAGACGGTAGAATAAAAGGGAACTCTGGAGGGTCCTAGGTGTTCGTACAGAATACTAAGAAAATAGTACATGGGCAGCTGCTGCCTTCTTGCTTTGGTAGAGGTTGGAAAGTTGTTTAGTCCAGGTAAATGCTCACACCTCTTAAGGTCTTCATTGATATTTAAATTCAGTGCACTATAGACGATCCCAACCTGGACAGGTGAATAAAATACTTTATTCCTTCATTCCTCGTTGGAGATACCTGAGGAGTGTCTCCATGGCTGAGGTGGGAGAGGAGAGAGGAATGAGGGGTCAGGAGGTTGAACTTTGAGAAATTTGTTGGGAGAGGAGACCTGTGTTCCAGTCTTCTCCTGTTTCCGTCTTGCTCAGAGTACCTGAACTGAACTTCCTCTACTTCTCCTCCAATGCCCCACCCGGGAGCCCCTTCTTTTGTTAGACAATCTGTTTCTATCAACCCTCTTACTTATTTGTATAAATAGTTAGATATTTGTGTGTGTTTATTATATAATAAATAATATATAGTATGTTGTATAGCACATAAATATATACATGTATATTATTTATAATATGCATATTGATAAATATGTGTATATTATATTAAAATATAAACTTGTAATAAATCTAAGAGTACAAGGGCCCAATTTTATTATTTATTTTATTATTTATGATATTCTCACAATGCTACATAAACATTCAAATATATATATACATACATATATTTAATTTATGACGTCTTCAGAATGTTTGACATATAAACATTCAATTAATTCAGAATTTCCAACCACAGGAGAGATAGAGATGTACCTTCCCAAGTATGTTTACAACATACTTTTTACTGTTTGATGAATCAAGTGTGGGAAAAACCCAAACATATATTTATACACTGCTCTTGATTGTTCTTATGTTGACTGAAGAGAAAAAAAACACTCGTGGAGGGGAAAGGGCAATGGACTAGGAGTTAAGAATCCCAGCTTCTGGTCTCTGAGCTGCCATAAATGTGCTGTGTCGCCTTGGGACGGTGACTTTACCTCTCTCAGCCCCAGGTTCCTCACCTGTGAAATGTGAACAGTAATCCTTGCCTTGCATTTCTGATAGGCAGATAGTCAAGGAAATGGGCAAGAAAATCCTTTGTAAATTAAGTCAGTGAATTCATTTTTAAAACTTAAGAGTCAGCTTGAAAGTGAATTCTAAATTGTATAATACATTGAGGATGACCAAAAGGGGGGAAAAAAAGATGAGTTGTTTTGACTGAACGTCATCCTTATGTTGCTTCTTTTTTCTCTTCCAGGACTCCATTTCCAGCCCACCTGACAATTCCCCCCTTAAAGGAGGTAAGACCTTGGAATCAGGAGTAAATGTGTAGTGAATCGCACAGATGACATCACAAGGTGTGGTGCCTGATTAGCGACCGCAAACGCTATGATAGTGCCCAACAGTGAAGCAGGGGAGACGGGCGGCTCAGGGCTGAGCTGATGCATTTAGATTCATTTGAGTGGCCCCTGATGAATACTCTAGTCCCCATCAGTCTCCCACCAGAATTTGACATTCCTACTAATAAAAATTCCTACCTGAGGCATAGGATATTGCATGGGCACTGACAGGAGCGCAAAGCAATATAGTATTAAGAGCTTAAAATCTACAGTTGGGCAAATATGGGTATAAATCTTGGTTCTACTTGTCACCTTAGAGCCTCAGCTTCTCATCTATGAAACGGGGATAATAATATCCACCCCATGTAAGTATTGGAGAAGCCAATCAGATCTCGTTTGTAAATTTCTGGCATGGCAACTAGCATGTCATGAGCAACAAATAACTGGTAATAGCCAATATGCAGAATGATGTTGTGGACTTGTGCAAACAGACTTCCTCCTCACCCTCCATATTTCCAATCACTGAAATCACTAATGAACGCATTGTCTCCAGTAGCCTCAGAGAGGTGATAATGCAGAATTCAGTTAACATTGAAGATGAAAACTTTGAGATCATCTGACTAATGTTTTCATTGTACAGAGTAGGAAAAGTCAGGTTCAGAGAAGGAAAGTGTCTTCCAAGGTCATACCAAACTAAACCTAGAGTACAAATGTCCTCATTTTTAATTCAGCATTCTTTCCACCCAAGAACATTAACCCCATCTTAGCCCTCTAATCTTTAGAATCTAAATAGCAAATATCACTGTATAGTCAGATGTCTCCAAGGAAAAAAAAAGTAAAGGAGAAAGAGTGAGTCATCACAGGCTCCAGGCAGAAACATCAGATCATCCTTAGGACAAGAGGGCACAGGTATCTCGACAAAGCTTCTCATACCAGCACCATCACACTTGGAGTTTTCCTTCAGGGTACCCTTGGCCCATGCCTTTCCTGCTCTCTGTCAGCCAGAAACTCAGAAAATAGGCATAAAAGGCCCCAGATAGATAAGGATTCTGAATCTTTCAAGGCAGATTAATAATCACAGTTTTGTCAACAATTAATTACTTAGCATGTCACCTCGCTCCTATAATTCTTGTGTAGACAGACAGTCACATTAATGTAGAAAGGAGCACGATATAATGCAGAGATCAGCAACCTTCTTCTGTAAAGGGGCAGAGAGTAAGTATTTCAGGCTTTGCAGGCCATGAGGTCTCAGTCACAACTACTCAACACTGCCGCCGTAATGCTAAACCATTGTAGACTATATGTGAATGAATGAGCATGGCTGTGTTTCAAGGGAACTTTATTTAAAGAAAGAGATAGAAGGCTGGATTTGGCCCACAGGCTAGAGTTTGCCAACTCCTGTAGTAGAAACAGTACAGGCTTTGGAGTCAGACATATGAGTTAAACATGTAACACGCATTCACACAGAGCCTTGCACAAAACCAAACAGAATGAATAAATGTAAATTTTCCTTCCCACTCCTACCATTTCTCTACCATCTCCATCCAGATTCTCCAAGTGAGACAGGAGCTCTTCATTTTTTGAGAGGGCATGGTGATCTTTAACATAACCATGATTCAATTGCATGGATCGTTTTGATTAAGTAATGGGACCTCGGCCACTCTGGCTCCCAGTTTCCCTCACCTGTAGAGCACTTCAATTATGGGTGGCCTTCTAGCTGGTGGTGCTGGCCCCATAACAAAGTTTTCATCAGTCCAGAGTGGGATGGGAAAAAGAAGGACAAGATAGCCCCTTTTTCACATAACTAATTTTATTTAATATAGGGGCACTCCTTTCTTCTGAGAGTATGTCCTTCCTACATTATTTGGTGTTAAAATGTTCTTTCTTTTATAACAAAGTTGATATAGATGGGAGTTCAGTTGCGTTGCTTTTTGTCATAGTTGTTTTGTTTTAATGGTTACAATAGGCAAATTAAAAAGCTCCCCACTCTACGGTGGTCCTGGAATGTTCATTTTTGGGGGATATTTCTTTGGTCTATGAAATCCAAAATTTTGGGAACCATGGACTAGATCACTTGTTGGGTCCCTTCCTATCTGATATCTACGATTTTTTGTCACTGGGCCATGATTGTGAATAGAAGAATACAAACTCACTCAAAACCAATCTCAATTTACAATCCAATGTTTCCACAACCAGATAAAAAAGAGAAAGGGAAAAAAAAAAAAAACCACACTAATAATAATCCCCACCAGGACTGAGAATTTTTGTTAAAGACCCTCCACACCTCCCTTTGGTCGATCTTAGCGTAAATGCTGTGAGTGAGTAATTTGGAGATTAGTATTCATTATTTGCTCAGGCAGAGCTGAGGGCCAAGGAGTCAAGATGACTTGTCTAAGGTCAGATAAGGAGTTGGCAGCAAAGCAAGAATCAGACTCCAGTGTTCCTCCTTATTGCCTAGCATGAAATGCTTCTGCCACGAGATACCAATGGACTGCTGTGTGTTCCTGACTTCCTCCTGCTTTAATGCAAGTCTGCCTTTCTCTTAGCCGAGCAAACTGCAGACCAGCAGGTCCACTGTCACAGGGTGAAGCGGACAGAATGTTAGCTTAGAGCAAGAACTGGTTCCAGAACTGACCTCAACAGCAGGCTCTGTCTCTCTGGGCAAGTCCTTTCTCCTCTCTGCCACATCTGTAATGTAACAGCAATGTACTAAATGAACTGGAAGGCCCCTTCCAGCTTTGACACTTTGTAATACTATCCCTCTAGTATCCAATCTGTAAATAGAGAAGGAAAGAACCCCAACAATAATCCTGAGGAAATATGAATCCATAGCCTCATTCCCCAGCAAGCCCACCTAAAACAGCAGCAAAGTGCCGCTTTCGGAAGAGCCACTGCAAGACATACAGGACAGAGATGAATCACCTCCCAGACACTCATGAGAGGAAGCTCCAGGGATAGCATGTGCTTTGTCACTGGGGCAGACAAGGCCGGAAGCCCGAAACCTTCCAGGGAGCCCTCTGCTGCCTGCTGATGGAAGTCTTCTGCCCATCAGCAGGAAGCCAGCATCAGCCCAGAGCCTGTGGAGAAAGGGCCATGTGCGCACACCAAAGCAAAAACACAGGATGACAGAGCAGCAGGGAAACCACAGAAAGCCAGGCTTTTTGGTAATAAAGGGGTTTCTGAGTCTTAACACAAGCCTCCCATTCTCAACCAGAAGGGCCCACGTTAGACTACCACCTCACACCTACTCCCTTGAGCTTAAGCTTCCTTGGACCATTTCCGGGGTTCAGTCAGTGCCATGTGTCGAGAAAGGCACTGCTGGTAGGAGCCCCTTTCACCACACCCTTCTCCTCTCGAGGTCTTAGTTTTCTCAGCTAGAAAAAGGAGTTACTGATGACTCCTATGTGGAGCTTTGATGAGAATGAAACGGGCCAGCAAAATCACCAGTGCCTGCCGCCTGGCTGAGCCTGCATCCCTTGGGCACAGGGTCCACTCTGTTCTTCCATATCCAGGTAAGATGACTCTATCCCATCCCACATTTGTTGGGGAATCCAGGAGGGTGAGGAGGAAGAGCGAGGTTTGTGCTTCTCCTGGTTCCTTCTTGTTCCAATCTTCTGCTTCTACCAAATTTTGAATTGCATATGTATTTGTGAGACTAGATCTACTTTTGCCTTGATTTCCCCAGAGTTGCAACAGCACTCAAAATCTTGAGTGCAGCATTTTAGAGAAGGGTCTAGGGTCTGTAGAGAAGCTGGTAGCAGAGTGCGTTACATCCCAGTGCAGGCCAGCGCACAGGTGGAATTGAACATCAGGCTCCTCTGTGCTTGTCCGGCCTCAGCCACTACAGCCATGGGGAATTTCTCAAGGGACATCCCTCCTCCCCCTCCGCCATGTGTACTGACCGGCTCTCCTTTCTATCTGTTTCTATGTCCTCCTTCTCCCCATAGACAAGCCTCCCTCCCACCTCCCTTCATAGACTCTGCAGAAATTCAAATGCTACTGATTTTATTTTGCAGAATGAGTTTGGTTCTTTGGTTTCATTCCAACAGGCCCAGGACTGTTTCAAAACAAAACATCCCACCAACCAAATAACAGTTCTTATGGCCTGTAAAAGAATTCTGTAGTCAACTTTTAAAATAGGTTTCTTTCTTCCCTCACTACATATGCACGAGCATCTGGCAGAGTGAAAGTAACTAACGTAGACGGAACATTCACCATGTGCCCAGCACTGTGCTGAGTGACTTATGCCTCACTCGTTCAATCCTCACAACCACTCTCCAAGGATAATTATTATCCACATTTTATAGGTAAGGAAACCAAAGCACAGAGAGGTTTACTAGCTTGACTAAGGTTTCACAGGAAGTAAGGAGTGGGGCAAGACCTCAAATCCAGGCTGACCCACTTTGGAGCCCTTGTGCTTAGCCAGGATCATATCGTAAGACAGGTAGGAAACTCAGTACTGTGCTTCCTTCCAGTGCCCCTACCAGCTCTCCATGTCTAAGAATCATTCCAACGCTCTTTATTGCTTCCTCTGCACCTGCTCCCCCAGCTGTTTGTTTTCATGTCTCTGCAGCATACTCTGCTATCGAGTGCTGGGACAGAGGGTCATTAGGGTGACCACACACATGGGTTTGTATGACAGGTAGAGTGGTCGAGGAAGAAAGGTCCCTAGTAGAGAATCTAGAGGCCAAGTTTACGCCCCAGCTTCACAGCCAAAGAGTTATGTGACCTTCGATGATTTCTTCCCCCCTGCCTGCCAGTTAAAAGAGGTTTTTGTCTTTCCTGTGAAGGTTGTGCAGCCTCCAATATCCAGGGGCTCCTAGAGGCCCTGTTGTTGATAGCTGCCTTCAAGTCAGCCCTCAACTCATGGCAATCCCATGCACAAAGGGATTGGACTATTGTGATCCACAGGACTCTCACTGGCTGATTTTTGGAAATAGATCACCAGGCCTTTCTTCCTAGTCTGTCTTCCTAGTCTGGAAATTCCTCTGAAACCTATTCAGCATCATAGCAACACGCAGCCTCCACTGACAGACAGGTGCATTGGGTGGGAATCAAACCCAGATCTCCTGCACAAAAGGCAAGACTTCTTCCACTGAACCACCACTGCCCTCACCCTAGAGACCCAAGGAAGTTAAACCAGTAGATAGACCACATGTGGGTCCTGACAGCCCTGTCAGCATGTTTCCCGCCCTACCTTGAATTCAGTTTCCAGCTGAAGGTGTGGTCCCAAAGGCAGAGAACTTGATTGGAATTTGAACCTCCCCTACATTCTAGTCATGGCCCTCGGGGACTTGAAGCATTGCACTTTCCCCCTCAGGGTCTTTGGTTTCCCATTTCTAACACGTTGGAGCATGTGGGGGCAAGCCAGATGACCTAGTCCTGGCATGGCTTTTGCTATGAGTATAACATTCCATGAACCAAACAAATATCTTAGGATTCTTCAACTATTTTACCATTCTAATATTTTATAATTCTTACATAGCTTAGCAGGCTATTTTCCTATCTCCTCTCCTCCTACTTAAAAAAAAAAAAAATAGAGCTATCAGAGGAGACCAAGCGAGGCTGACTTGCTAATCTTACCTAGTAAACTGATCCCTATAGAAACAATAGAAGCTACCATTGTAGGCAAAGAAACTAAACTAAGTAGACTGGATACTCGCCAATACCCAGCTATCCTTGGTTTTTCATGGCTGTGATCCAGGTGGTCAAAGGCCTGCCAGGCACCATATTGGTGGCAGGAGAGGAATGTGGCAGAGCAGCAGCCTCCCTCCTCCTTCCCCTAGAAAGACTGAAAACTAGCAGAGACCTTGCTCCTATCAGGTGGATTGATTTATATCTAGATTGCCCAGCTCCACGAGTTTGCTTGTTTTTTGTCTTCCCAGCAAAGGGGAGTGCTCCTGCTCAGGGGGTAAACCACTTTTCAGATAGGTACAGGCCTATTTGTACTCCATTTACTTTAAACACACATCATTCAAAACCCACCGTTAAACTCACTGCCTTTCTCTTACATCAGAGCTAAGAGAACTCAGGATCTCTCTATAAGAACTAAACTAGAAGATGACTCTCTCGGAATAAAGTGAAATAGGGTCACGAGGAGGCATCCAGAGTGCTAAAGCCATCTACACCTAAACTCCCCACTCTTGCCACAGAGAGGAGAGGGGCGGAAAGGAGAGGAAAAGGAAATGACACTTTTGGATCACTGAGATATGTGTGAAATTTTATACTTGAATTTAGCACATACAGGTCACAAGTCTCTGAATCCAGAGAAGATCTCAGAGTTCCCCACCTTTCCAATACTCTGGGGAAAGAAAAAGAAAGAAAGGAGGAAAGGAGGAAGAAAGGAAAAAAGGAAGGTTGGCGTATTCCTCTAACCAGTTTCGTTATTTATTTCATCAACTCTCTGGACCCCACGTGTGTTGGCTTAAATTCCTAATCCAAGCAGTGCAAATCCTGGACCAGAGAATGGGAGCCAACCATTGTTTAGTATATTTTGGATGGTAGACACCAGGCTCATTGTTATGCATTATCTCATTTAATTCTCCCAGCAACACGGCGAGGTACATATTATTATTATTATCATTTTTGAAAAGGGGGAAGGACAACTCAAAAAGGCTGAGTGACTTGTTTAAGCCCACACAGCTAGTAAGTGGCAGAGGTGCGATTTGAACCCTTCTGTCTGATTCTCAAGCCTAACTTTCTAAATGTGCCACCATACTCTTGCATCTAGAATAGCTAGGAGGTGCTTTCAAAATGTTATTTAAAGTGTTAGCAGAGTTCCCCGTGTGACTCGAGACTCATCCTTCCTTTTAAATTACAGACTTTAAAACTGCTTCTTTATATATCCCCAATAATGTCAATTCAACCTGCATTTGTATAAATTAATTCCAAGCAAGCATCCATAGAGTCAGGTAGGCTTATCTTATATACTGCAACAGGTCGGTATTGAAACCTCCACTGCCTTCACCTCAATTCCAACTCATAGTGACCCCACAGGGTTTCCAAGGCTGTAAATCTCTAAGGAAGCAGACTGCCACATCTTTCTCCCGCCAGTATTGAAAACACACAAAAATCCAAAGGAACCTTCAGAGAATTGAAATGAATTCCAACTTGATCTCAATTTGTATTTGCTGATCAATTTCTACGTGTTTCATACTGGAGTGGGTATTCCCTAAAGGCTCTTTGTAAATCTAGGGTCACCCAGTTGTCCTTTGTTAGACAAAAGACCAATTCTGAGTTTATGTCTCCATCACTAGTTGACCTAGTGGCATCAAGGAAATGGTCAAGTTGAAACCATTTGAACAGAGGCGGTGGGGGGTGGGGGGACTTGCCCAAGGGCACAAGTCCAAGGGGTACCAGATGAGGCATGGAATGACATTCCAAGGCACCAGTGGCATCATTAGGGGCGTACGGGGAGTGCAGACCACACCAAGTGACACTGTCAAAGGGGGTGACACCACATGGTCCAGAGATACATCCAAGACCAAGCTATGTAGGACTTGAGCTGCTCCAGAAAACCTGTGCCTGCTCCAGTCGTGTTTTGGTGCTTCTCTCTGCTGCTGTGGCTCTCGGTATCCGCCGAGATGATTCACCAGCCCAGAGGTGCTGCTCTCGCCACCACTGTCACCACCACCGCGCCACCGCAACCTGCGACCACTGCCCAGGATGCAGCCGCAGCAGGGAATTGCACTCAGGCACAGCAACGCTGGGCTACTCTTTTTCATCACTGCTATCAACATCTATTCATCTCGAAATTTTGGGGAAGGGATGCAATTTAGAGATTGGCCCTGAGTGCTGGTTACCCTTGCTACGCCCCTGTGTTTGAAATGACCCTTGAAGTTAAGGGATCCACTTTGATCCCAAATTCTACTGAGAATGGAGAGACTCTCCCCTAGATGTCACTGCTGTGACAACTAGATATTCTATCAGAAGGATGGAACTAAGAAGCCAGGAGAGGGAAGATGCAGTCATTAAGACAATCCTTTCCTTGAAAGGATTAAAATATTTTCAACAGATGGAAGGAGGATTCTGCACACTTTCCTGAAAGCCTCAGATGGCCGCAACCACTTAGGAAACACCAATCCATCAGACAGTGCCATGAGCTTTGTTTTAATCAGCATTCCATCAACCAGATCACTCTGCTTAGGGGCATTGCTAAACTGTGCCACTCTAACAAGGAAAAGGGAAGTAAGGGATAAAGGAGCTACAACTTTCCAAGTATCTCCTCTAAGCCAGGGACTGCACCGGCCACTTGACATCCATAATCTCATTGCATCTTCACAACATCCGTACATCTGGGATAAGTGTTACTACCCTCACTTTACAAATGCAGTAACTGAGGTCCAGTAAGAGGAAGGAACAGACCCAAGGATAAAAGCCTTGACCATAACCCAGATGCTCTTTTCGAGGTGCACTGTGTCTGACTTGTCCTAACATCAAAGCTGCTGTAGAGCTGGAAGGTACTTGGCACTCAGACCACATACCATCCAATCTGAATAACTGGAGTGATTGACTTTGACCTTGCTGAGCCACTTTGCACATTGTTGTCTCTTTATGGAAGTCCAATTGCCTCTTGTGATTTGGCAAGGTTCAGCACATGGACCTGAAGTCATCTACTGGCATTTTTCCTGCAAGAGGGAGACCAGAAGGCTCATTAGGGCTTGTTTTTCCAGCACCTCCAGCTGTCTCATCAGTTTTTAGTTCCAGTGTCTATGGTGACTGGAAACCCACTTCTTGTATTTAACCCTCCCTGCTCCATGGAAAGACTAAAAGACAGGGAACAGAGCACCAGACTAGGAGTCAGGAGACCCGTGTTCTGAACCCAGCTTTGCAACTGTGGAGTCTTGAGCCAAACGCTTAGTCTCTCTGGGCTCAGTCTCCCCACTTACAAAACTAGAGTCTTAGTTAACATGGAATCTAAGGGCCCTTCAAGGTTTAATATTTTGATATCTCAAGGTGGGGTCCAGTCTTAAGCTTTCCATAATGCTGACCTTCTAGAACATGATCATTTCAACCACCTTGAGCAACTTTTCTCTCCCTATCTCTCTCCTCTGTGCAATTGGCCAGGAGGGGCATATTGATATGTCTTTTTCTCCAGGCTTCCAAACAAAGCCCAAGAAAGGATTATGATCCTTCTAGAAGAGGACAAAACTTGGGAAGACCAGTTCCAAATCTCGCCCATCTGAAGGCTTTGGTTCTTAGAGGAATTCACAGGGTGCTTGAGTTGTATGAAAGATAGAATGCCCAAATGAAGGAGTAAGGAGTCCTGAACTCTGGTTCTGCCTCTGCTACTAACTCGCTGGATGACCTTGACCTAGGACAAGTCTTTCATGGGGGTCACATCAAGGAGGACATCTGTTATGTGTTTACCAAATCTGGATCAAGTAATCTCTCAGGGGACTTCCATTTCTATGAACTAAGCAAATCCTTACAAAACCAGACTGTTCATAAGCCAAATTGTCCCCAGAGTGAAAATGTTCTGTTCTACCACTTCAGGTGTCTGGAAATCTCAATGTATGAAGATACAGTTTCCTACCTGGATAGAACAGTGTTCCCACAAAGATAGACAGCTGGAGCTAGCGCTAACTTTTTCCCTACAGCAAGTCTGGCAGTGGACAGCTGAGTTTACACATCCTGCTAGAATAAGCTAGAAGAACCCTTCTAGATCATCAGATCCACACTGCTCTCCATCTAGAAATGGACACTGAAGCCCAGAGAGGGATAATTCTAGGATTCCAACTCCCAGGCCATTATCTCGGCCACTATTTGCAAACAGCTCTCCTTTTCCCCTACCCAAGTATTCTGTTCTTCAAACTAGGCCTCATAGGTCCTCCAATCACATTCAGCAAGAAAGTGAATAAGGCAGGAATGTATTTTGCTCCCTATGCTCCCAGCGTTCAAAATTCCAGGGACATTACAGGATTCCAGCTCCATGTAACACCACATATTTATAAGTCACTTCTACCTGTTCCCACAACCATAAAATAAAGTTGTGTCATGGGCTTTCAAGGATAAGGAGATTAAAGTCACACAGGTGATGACCCATGAAATCTTCATCTAGCTCTTGACACAGGCTCACAACCCTCAAATCAGGTCACTCCATCTTTGAACATTACTGACTTGTCAAATCTTATTTGAGCTGCCAGCTCTGTTCACTTACTATGTGACTTGAGTGTCCTTAGTAGAGGTCTTTCCATTGTCTCATCCAAGAAATGGGGGTGAGAGAAGTGTTAGCCATTATGTTGCTGGGTGGAAACTCCACGTTCTGCTTGGTGTGACTTGTTACAGCCAATAAACAAGAGTCCTAGGTGGGAGAGGAAAGATGCCTTTATTTCGTTGTGCAAAGAAAGGAGCAATAGGGGCTGTTGCCTCCAAGACTGTTTGCAGGCAGCTAGGGGAGGTGGGCTTTTACAGAGAACAGACAAGGAAATGCAAATTAATCATGAATATTCAGGACTGACCTTCACTCAGTTGCTCAGATCTTGGGAATGACGAGGCATTTTCTTTAGACAAGGGTTCAACTCTCCAGGATGGAGGAAAAGGTCGATTTTTCTTCATTAGCGTGTTAAGTCTCCACCTAGAGGCTGGTTCAGGCCGCCTATGGCCCATTCTGTGGTTATCTTGTCAAGGACAGTTTTAGAAGAATGTGCAGCCTATTCTGCTTGGTGTAGGAGGAGAAGTCAGAACAGGTGTCTCTTAGAAGGGTTGGGCTCTGAGGCTGCCTGCCTCAATTAGGTAAGTTCATCTTCCTAAACTTCCACTTGGAGCCTTTGTGCTTGGGTCCTACAGATCAGGCAGCACTGTCTTCCTGCAGACAGCCTTGTTGAAAGTTAAAGGACAACGAATGTGCCCTTCTCCAGGTTTCCTTCAACTGCTCCTCCAGTGTTCTGGTTCCTAGTCCCCTCTCTGAACCAGCTCTAGCAAAGTCACTCTTAAAAACAGCTACCAGAAAGGGTTTTTCCTTTAGCTTGAAGCCATCTGAAAAGATTCTTTAAGAAAAACTAAAATACACTTGCCATTTGACTTCAGGAAATACAAATGCTTCGAAATAAGTTTTTTTTTTTTTTTTGATGGGGGGGCTATTTTGTTTTTTTCCATCCTTGGTTTTCTCAGAATTACAGCTGAGGTCACCCACTAAAAGTGCTAAGACCAAAGGGGAAAAAACAAAACAGCCTATATGTATGAGAGGCAACAAGCCCTGACTTGTCCTGCTACAGCCACCTGTTTACAGAAGCTCCCTTGACTTAGATGCCACCAAGAGTGGCATGGTGTGAGAGGCCTTTGGCCAATGAGCAGAGTCTGGTCTTGGTGTGACGTGCTGGCTTCAGCCCAGGGCGCACATCTTATCTTCCCACCTAACCTAACTTGCAAAGTCAATTTGAGAATGAGGTCCTTTGTTATTCCAACGCTGAGGGGAAAGGCAAGCCATGCATCCCCATTTACCTCACTGGTGCCATATGTACTTACCTGGCACCCACAGAGGGAAACAAGAGAAATGGACTAGATGACTCAATCAACAAACATCTACAGAACATCCAGACCCTGGGCTGGCCATAGGGCCAGATATACAGCAGTCTCTGCCCTGAGGGTTTACGGTCTAATGGAGGAGGCAAATAGAGAAACAGGGCAGGGTCAGAGAAGGTTTCTCAGGGGAGATAATTCCAGGCTATGTTTTCAATGATGAATTACTTACCAAGTGAAGGAAGATTCCAGGCGAGGAAATAGCAGGTGCCAAGGAAGAATGACAAACCAGCACAGTGTGTTTGAGGGTGCTGCAAGCCCCCAAACTCCAGAAACATGGTCAAAACTCTACACGGGCATTAGAGTCAGGCAGCCTGGATCTGAATCTCCACTCCACCACTGATACACTGTGCGAACGCGAGCAAATCACTTAACCTTTTAATGCCTAGGCTTCTTTACATGCAAACTAGAAATAATGATAACACTTTTTTCATGAGATGGTTGTGAGAATTAAATGAAACAATGAACGTGATGTGCTTAGCACAGTACCTAGAAAATAACAAGTACTCAGTATTAGGTATTATTGTTATTACTATCACAACTATTACTGCTCCTGTCACCGTCATCATCATCATCATCATTGGAACATAGTGCAAGGGCAGGAGGGAGGTCACTTTAAGTAAAGAACATTACCCTGGAAAATGTGGGTGGGCCTCATCCAATCAGTTGAAGGCCTTAAGAGAACATCAAGTTTCCCAGGAAAGAAGAAATTCTGCCTCTAGACTGAAGCAGGAAATCCTGCCTGAGTTTCCAGCCCGCCGGCCTGCCCTACAAATTTCACATATATGTATATACATACAGATAGTCCCCAACTTACGACGGGGTTCCATTCCAATGACTCCTTTGTAAACTGATTCAGATTTCAGTCAAATACCTCATTTTTTTAATTTTTAGTTTCATGATTATTGCCTTTTATTATCAGTATCTTTATACATCTGATCTTTATTTGTCTTTGGGGTTGGCCGGAGAATGATAACATCAGCAAATTACACGCTACAACATTGTATGCAGTATATATTACTAATGATAAGATGTACCAAAAAAAAAAGCGGACAGTTGTAAGCTCAGTTCATTGTAACTTGAGTATGTCATAAGTTAGGGACTACCTGTATATAGATAGAGAGAGAGAGAGAGAGGGATTTATTTTAAAGAATTGGCTCATGTGATTGTGGAGGCTGGCAAGCCTGAAATTTGTAGGGCAGGCTGGCAGCCTAGAAGCTCAGGCAGGATTTTATGCTGCAGTCTAGAGGCAGAATTTCTTCTTGCATGAGAAACTGTTTTTGCCCTCAAGGCCTTCAACCGATGGGATGAGGCGCACCTGTGTTTTCCAGGGTAATCTTCATTGCTTAAAGTCAAAACGATTGTAGCTGTTAACCACATCTACAAAATACCTTCACAGCAACACCTAGATTAAACCCACTGCCATCGAGTCGATTCTGACGTATAGCGACCTAGATTAGTGTTCATTAAATAACCAGGTACTATAGCGAGCCCAGAAATCCTGGTGGCATCGTGGTTAGGTAAGAGCTACCGCTGCTAACCAAAAGGTCAGCAGTTTGAATCCACCAGGCACTCCTTGGAAACTCTACGGGGCATTTCTACTCTGTCTTATAGAGTCGCTATGAGTTGGAATTGCCTCTACAGCAATGGGTTTGGTTTGGTTTTGCTTTATAGAGAGCCCTGGTGGAGCAGTGGTTAAGCGCTCAGCTGCTAACCAAAAGGTCAGTAGTTCAAACCCACCAGGTACTCCGCAGGAGAAAGATGTAGCAGTCTGCTTCCGCAAAGATTTACAGCATCAGAAACCCTATGGGGCAATCCTCTGTCCTATAGGGTCGCTGAGTCAGAATTGACTCAACAGCAATGGGCTTTTTGGTTTATAGCCTAGCCAAGTTGACACATAGACTAACCACCACAGATGGGATCAAGACAACGGCATCTGGCCCATAAGCCCTCATCACCAAGGGAAGCTTTGGACCAGAGCTTCTTTTTGGGTAGAGGGCATGTAAGAATGAAAACGTCTGCCCCCGTTTCTGCTGGGGGTGCTGCTAGCAGTGACCTTTTTCAGACAGCAGAGGGAACTCTTCACTTAACTTTCAACCACTCCAAGATGCTTCCCTCCCCCCTCCCCTCCTGCCCTGAGATGTGAAGAAGGCCAGGAGGGACCTTCTCAGGCCCTGACAGAGAGGGCAGTGGGGGAGGTTTTGAACCCAACAGCTACCTCTCAGAGGTCCAGCGAGCAAACACAGCAGGTGTGGCTGCTTCCATTGAATGGCCTATGGCAATCTGGTCTCTGATGGACGGTAACGAATAGCCATCTCTGACGACATCTCCCAGTTTTATAGATAGGGGAACCAAGGCCCAAAGAGGAGAAGAGATTTGCCCAGAATCAGTTAAATCCCTGAGTCATTTCAGAAAATGGTTAACTTGGTGCTTTGCATACAACAGTTACTATAATAATAAAAAGCTAAGCTACACTCACCCGCAAAGCTATTAAAAGCATTTTTATTTCTTAAATGCCATAATGACATAAACATTGTCTTTTCCTCTGCCAAGGAAGCTCCAGATAGCAGGCCTCCTGCTGAGATGTCTTTAGTCCTATTTCCTCTTGAAATAGAGCACAAGGACGTGTTCATTTCTGCTGTCTAGCAAAATGGCCAAGTGAAGGAAACCTGCCCCCTGGAATCGGATAGACAAGGGGACTAATCCCAGCTTTTCCATCAAGTTGCTTTTTGACTTGAAATGTATCATTTGCCTAGGCATCAGAAATGACAATCACTCCCTTGTAGCAGGTTATTCTGAGAATTAGATTACTGATACATGCAGAAGTGCTCAGACAAGTAGCTGGTGGACACTAGGCTGTCAAGAAAAGGCAGTGGTAATTACTGTCAATATCACCATTCTAACTACTACTGCCTGGCTAAGTGGCATGGAACATTTGCTTACCCTCTCTGGTCCTCAGTGTCTTTCCATCTGTAAAATGGGCTTTAGTAATGCCTCTCTCATGGAGTTGCTGTGAATATTAAGTGAAGCGAAGTATGCAAAGTGACAAGAACGGCACCTGGCACATCACTGTAACTCAGGTCATATTCATTTCCTTCCCTGACTTACGGCATCTTCTCTCAAAGCCTAAGTTTAACCAATCAGTTAAAAGAAAGCCTAAGGTAGTTGACGGCAAAATGAGAAAGAAAGAGATTTTCCCTTTGCCCCCAAAATGGAAACAGAATGATAATTATCTCTATCAAAGGGTCAGTTCCCCGAGCAGCAAAAGACATTTAACGTGTGATCTCTTTATTTTTAGGAAATTGCTCAGAGGACATCTTATGTATGCTGAAAAGGGCTCCATTCAAGAAGTCATGGGCCTACGTCCAAGGTCAGTAACCAAATCTAGGGAGCCCTAACCATATGACTAACACTTCTTGGAGCCCTTCTACAACTCCTAAGCCAGAGGTCACAGGAAGAGGCCCATAGTCGAATGTGACCTGTGGATGCAATTTGTTTAGCTTGCATGATATATACATATATATGTATATATATAGTTTGAATGTAAATGCCTTAAAGTTAAAAGGGAGTGTTTCTCTCCAAAGCTACAAGGCTCCCCCTTCCTCAGCCCCATTCACTCATTTCTGTTGCCCACCTTGCCCCTGCTGGCGTTTTCATCCCATCCGGCTACCACCACCACCAGCACCACCACCCCTCTCTATTCAGCCCCCTAGCAGTTAGAGTCCAGCGCACAGTACTTCTCCTAATGCAAGGGAAGCAGGCTTTTAATCTTTGCCTCGGTAGAGTTATTCACAAGGGAACCACAAAATTGCTTTGTCCCCCAGATTGACAGCTTAATGAACATGTTGGCACAGCACCTATTTGCATATTGCAGCATGCTTCAGGTAAGAGGCCCCTTATAAACAGAACAATAAGAGGTACTTACACTGTGAAAGAATGAGATATGGAGGCGGTGGCCAAGACTCTCTGAACAGAACAACCATTCTGTTCATTTTAAAAATTCAATTTTGCGGTGAGATTACTTCTCACCCTTTTCAATTGAATTGTATCAGAGTTTAAAGGGAAAGCAGGGAGCCCATTAAAACTAACACACCATCTTCTCAGTTCTGAAAGGATACTTACCAGTGAGTGCTGAGGTTCACTCGTTATGACTCAGAGAGACTTGATTTCTGATATGAACATGGCTTACAGGGTTTGCTGATTCTCTGCTTTTCTGTAAATCCCAGATGGCAAAAGCCCTTAATGTACGTATGAAGAACCTACACAATTATGCTTGGCTGCCCTTTTATAGAAAGGAAGACATTAAAAAATTCGGACAACGTCCTCAAAAAACTAAAAATAGAACTACCATAACTCGTTGCCGTTGAGTTGACTCCAACTCATAGTGAGCCTATAGTACAGGGTAGAACTGCCCAATAGGGTTTTCAAGGAGTGGCTGGTGGATTCAAACTGCCTGCCTTTTATTTAGCAGACAAACTCTTAACCACTACACCACCAGGGCTACCGAACTACCATATGACCCAGCAATTCCACTCTTAGGTATAAACCCAACAGAGGTGAAAGCAGAGACTTATAGAGACTTGTACACCAATGTTCATTGCAGCACTATTCACAATAGCCAAAAGGTGGAAACAACCTAACTGCCCATCAACAGATGAATGGATAAACAAAACGTGGTATATACACACACTGGAATACTACTCAGCCAGTAGGAGAAACAAAGTCTTGATACATGCTACAGTATGGATGGAGCTGGAAGACATGCTGAGCAAAATAAGCTAATCACAAAATGACAAATATTGTATGACCTCACTTATATAAAAATACAAGAAAAGGCAAACGTATAGAGACCATAGCTTATTAGTGGTTACCAGGGGTGGGAGGGAAGGGAAAAGGAGGATTAACAGTGATGGAAAAAATCACATTGATTAAGGATAAGTTTGCATAGCCGATTTTTGTAATTGCTGTCAAAAAGTTGTACTGTACCTGTAAAAAGTTGAATTGGCAAAAGTTGTGTGATAGATATATTTACAACAATGATAAAAAAAAAAAAAAAAAAGAATAGCTGCTGAGGCCGCTTATGTACAATCAAACACCTCATAGGATTTGGTTCCTTGGTTTGGAGGTTCAGGGTCATGGTTTCATGGAACATCCCAGTTAATTGGCCTAATAACACGTTTAGTGCTTCTATTCTACCTCCGAGTTTGTTGCATAGTGCCTGGGGTCTTCAAAGCTTGCAGGCAGCCATCCAAGGTACAACAATTGGTCTCTATTCATCTTCAGCAATACAGGAAGAAGGAAAGTCAGGAATAGGAGGAGCATATGGAATGTGTGGCTAATTGCCTCCTTTGCCATGAGACCAGAAGAACAGGATGGTGTCCAGCTACTATCACTGAACATTTTGATTAAAGATTCCATAGAAGAATCCTGATCAAAGGGGGAATAATGTAGAACATAATTTTAAATTCTCATGGGCTCTAGACTTTCTGGATCTGTAGTTGGTGGATGAACCCCTGAAAACTACTGCCCTGAGATAATCTTTAAACCTTAAACCAAAAATATCCCCTGAAGTCACCTTAAAACTGAATAATAGTTTATCTTAACAAGTAAAAAAGGTCTGCCTTGAGCATTAGGCTCTTTTAAGAACTATCTATATGGGATCAAATTGACAACAGCAACTTGGAAGATTAAATAGGAACCTTAGGGAGCAATGAGTTTATGTTAATAAGGTAGGAACAACTCAGAAAATGCGAGTGAGAATGGTTGCACAACTCAAAGAATGTAATCAATGTCACTAAACTGTACGTGTAGAAACTGTTGAATTGGTGTATGTTTTACTGTGTATAGTCTCAACAACAACAACAAAATAAATAAAATTTAGGAAAAAAAAAACCTGGAAAAATCTACACGAATAGGGGACAGGTTAAATAAATAATGGTATGTATAAAAAAATTTAGACAATGAGTGGTTAAAGGATGCCTCTTACTGTGAAAGTTAACAGACTGAGATTCTCCTGGACCTCTTGATACCTCGTTTGGTTATTAATTGAAAAGTATTGAGTATTCTATCTCTGGTACTCTAGAACCAAAGATTAGTTCTCCGCCAAATGCTCATTGATTGATTGGATCAATGAACATGATAATGCAGACCTTGTAGAGAATACAATCCAGGAGCTTAAATTCTAAAAAAGAAAGAATGATAATATAAAAATTATTAAGTGGAAAAAGCTTAATCCTGCAGGAGATAGAGCTATAGTACCGTGGATGTTCTGACACTTCAGCTTTGAGCATTAAAGGAAGGGGTCTTTTGTATAGAGGCTTTGAATAACAAGTAGAACCTGGAGAGCGTAACACGGAAAATATTCCAGATGGTTAGAACAGAGACAGTGCTGTAGAAAACATGGGTCTTGAATGGGAAACTCTGAATAAAGACTTAAAATTTTCCAACCTATACCTGAAACTTGCTCAATAATTCTGTTTTTTATACTTCTCTTCCCAGTGTCAAAACATATAAACCAAACCAAGTTGTCTTGGAACGCAGATGGCATTGTTGATGGAGTCAAACATAAAGATGGGAATCTGGTGATCCAGTTCCCAGGTTTGTACTTTATCATTTGCCAACTGCAATTTCACGTGACTCAATGCCCAGAAAATTCTGTCGACCTGAAGTTGGAGCTTCTCGTCAACGAGATGGTCAAAAAGCAGGCACTGGTGACGGTGTGTGAGTCTGGAGTGAAAACCAGAAATATATACCAGAATCTCTCACAATTCTTGCTGGAGCACCTTCAGGTCAACACCACCATATCAGTCAGGGTGGATAAATTCCAGTTTGTGGATACAGACACCTTCCCTCTTGAAAATGTGTTGTCCATCTTCTTATACAGTAGTTCAGACTGAGCAATTTTTCCTGGCCTTCAGGAAAAGAGAAACTCTCCACCATATAATACTGCCTTCACCCAAACACCTGAACAAAAAAGAAAACTTTAGACCAAGACGGAAACCACAAAGAGTATTAAATAGAATTCTTCTCCTCCTTTCTCTTGGAAAGATACAGCTCCAGGGTTTAAAAGGTTTTGAGTGAAGTATCTTTCAGAGAAAATGCAGGGAAGTAGTGTTGTATGGTGGACAGAGCCCCATATGGGAATCAGAAAGGATGGGTATATACCCAGCCCTACCACTAACTCACTGTATGATCTTGGGCCATTCCTTCACCTCCCTAGAACTCAAAATCCATGTCTGAAAAATGAGGGGGCTAGATCTGATCTTCCCCAAGGTCTCTTCCATCTCAGAAGACCAGACTTTCTCATTACAGACCTGTGAGCTGAGATTCCACATAGTGTTACGAAGCCCCCAACCAAAGAAAGGCCCCTAAACTTGTACAAAACTGATGGTACTAGTAGCATCGGGCTGCTGTGTACTTCAGCAGAGTCAGAATATGGGGACAAGGTTCAGGGTGCCTTGCAGAAATGTAAGAACTGCAGGATTCAAAAATATGTAACAGAAAGCACTGCCAAACTGACTGTTCAGAAATCCAGACTCTAAAAGACCATCTGGCTATTTGGAAAACCATCCAATTGGGCCTGACTCTATTCCAGTTAAGATTAACAATAAGTTGACAGCAGACAGTATTGGTGTCCTGTCAGGAAAGGGCTGTGCATTCAGCAAACACTCAATCATCAAGCAATAACCAAGGCAATGCAGTCATTTAGCCAGGGAATAGCTGCTGCCACCTCTCACATGATCTGTTTCTACTCCTTGTTTCAAATATCTCTCAGAAAACCATTTCTGTGGAGGATTTCTAAGTCCCCACAAAGCTGAAAATGGTGAGGAGAACTTCTGAGGAATGGCAATCTCCTCTACTGATTTGAGTAGCTATGAGACTTCTCTAGCTACATCAACCTTTGCATCTCTCCAGCATCTTTCGAGAAGCACCTTATATGTTTGAAAGAAGAGACTTTAACAAACCATTTGAGTAGGTGTGAAAGTCCCTGAGGTTATGCTTCAGTAAGAAGAGACAAAAGACAGACTTCTAACTTTCATGCAAAAGAATGGAGTGAAACTTGCATTTTTCTGGAGAAGGAGAGAAGAGAAAAAACAAAAGGAATAGGAATCCAGGCAAGTTTGTCCAAGAAAAGTCTAGAAAAGATTTAAAAGAAAGAAAAAATGAGCAGTGGTGGTACAGATGAGATGGACTGGGGAGAATAAAAATGTCCAAGAGAAGTTTGTAAGTTATTTGCTGAACGGTGTACAATGTTAACCTTCTTCTTGGTCTCCTCCATGAAATAGTAAAATCTACATTGTTTTTAATGCTTTCTGTGAGTAGTTGCTCCGACAGGAGTGGGCATTTAAAGAGGTGTTGAATTCAGCAAGCCAAGTGATATGTGGTGTTTAAAAAACAAACAGACAAAAAAATACTTGACTGGTTTCGGGGACCCAAAAATTAGAGAATAAGGGGACATCTGGCATGTGAGTTATGCTCTAGCTGTGTAGAAAAAAGGAATCTTGCTTAAACCAACTCATGCATTCTTGAAAAGGTATACAAAATTAAGTTTATGTAATCAAAAGGAAATTTTCTACCATCTCACAAGTTAATTCCAGAAAGATTACATTTTACCCTTTCACCAAGCTTCCTCTGAGCGGAGGTACCTGACTTCCGCACTGTTAAAAAAAAAACAAACAAACCCATTGCGGTCAAGTTAATTCTGACTCATAGTCATGACCCTATTTAGGACAGAGCAGAATTGCTCCATAGGGTTTCCAAGGAGCAGCTGGTGGATTCAAACTGCCAACCTTTTGGCTAGCAGGCATAGCTCTTAGCCACTGAGCCACCAGGGCTCCAGTCCCTATTCTCAGTCTCTGTCAAGAAATGCTCCAAAAGCCAGCAGGTGAAGACACAAGGGGGCACAGTAGTTAAAGGTACCCTGTAGTAAAACAAAAAATTTAAAAGAGAATAATCATTAATAACTCAGCCAATAAGTACCTATGGGGTAGACAACCCAGAGGATTTAAAACAAAATTTTATTGTTCCTTATGGCTTAACTAGCCCCTGGAAATGTTATGAGTAATTGACACCATCTCTGCAAGTAAAATAAGTCATTTTCTAACTAGGAACCTGGGCTACCTGAAACCCACACCTCTGATAAAAACTCAAATTGAGCTCACAGACTCTTTGCTCTACACACATCAGAATACGTGCAGAACTTGTAGAGGTAGGAGATGTGTGAATTAATGAAAAATAACAAATCAGTGTAGGCTAAATGTATTCTTGCCTTTGGAAAAATTAACGTAGCTTTCTTTCTCCACATTCTGTAACTTTTTCTTCACCTGGCCTCCCCATCACCTGCTAGTCTTCTATCCAATTCCTTCTTGAATCCCCCAGTCACAGAAAGGTGGCTCAGAGAATGGCCCAATAACCCCTGAGGGTTTGATGTAAACAGGCAATCCAGAGAGGAAGTGCTGAGGGAAGTTGGGCTAATTTACCAAACAAGGGAGACTTCCAGAATTACTGGAATACCACTGATTACTCTGGCACCAGGAGCCCTGGTTGCACAGTGGTTAAGCACTCAGTTGCTAACTGAAAGGTCAGCGGTTCAAACCCACCAGCAGCTCCACGGGAGAAAGATGTGGCAGTCTGCTGTCATAAAGATTTACAGCTTTGGAAATGCTATGGGGCAGTTCTACTTTGTACTATAGGGTCACTATGAGTTGGAATCAACTCAACGGCAATTATTCTGGCGCTGGGGGACAAAACCCTTAAATTAAAAGAATAGAGAAGTCAGCCAACGTCTTCTCTGGAAAGGTCCTGAGAGAGCACTTAAGCCAACGTTTGAATGGAAGCCCAAAAGGGGGCAGGGACTTGTCCAAGTCCTCACTTGTAATCAGTAGCCCTGCCTCCTGACTCCTCCCCATTATTTCCCACCATGCTCTATTAATCTCCTCCTGTAGCCTTTCTGTAATTCCACATGTCAGCCCTACATTGAAGCAGTCCCCAGCATTCAAGGATTTCCTCTACTCCTCCTTCCCCTGCCCCACCTCAATCCCATATAGATTCAGTACTGTGACCAAATCACAGAAAAAGAGTTAGGGTCCCACTATATAAAATCTCTGTCTCTCAGAAACTGAAGAAATATATGACAAAGCCATTATTTTTTTTCCAGAAAAAAATTAAAAGTTTGTTGTCTAATTTGAGATTATGTGTATGCATGTCTGTATGTTTATATTTATATATATGTGCATATATGTGTGCAGAGCCTGGTGGCACAGTGGTTAAGAGCTTGTCTGCTAACCAAAAGGTTAGCAGTTCAAGTCCACCAGCCATTCCTTGGAAACCCTATGGGGTGGTTCTATATGTGTGTGTGTATAAATGTGTGTATATGTATATATGTATATATATATACACACACACACATATATGTGTGTGTGTGTGTATTTGTGTGTATATATACTTTCTCCTAGTAATTGTTTTACAATCCATCTGCTTAACCTGGGTCAGGTGAACCTCTTGCTCTGGGTCTTGCAAACTTTATATATGCTAGTATTTATTTTTAATTATGAAAAGAACAGAAAATAATATTTTTCCATGCCATACCAGCTTATTTAACAACTATTATTTTGCTATGTTTGCTTCTATTTCTTTTAAAATAATACAGACAGAGCTAAAGTACCACTCCTCCATCCATTTCCCTACCCCCCTCCCAAAAGTAATCATTGCCCTTAAGTTTGTATGTTCCCTTCACTTGCATAGTTTTGTACTTGTTTCCCCATAAGAATATATAGTACAATTTTGTATAATTTTTAAAATTTCAATAAATAATACCATACTTTACAAAACATTTTGTAACTTGATTTTTTTCACTTATATTAATTTTGTGTATTTGTCCAGATTGATACAAGTAGATTTAGTTCATTCAACTGCTATATAATATTTCATTGTTTAAATAAACCACAGTTTGTCCATTCTCCTATTGATGAACATTTAGTTTGCTTCTAGATTTTTCACTATTACACACAAAGCTGCAACAAGCTTATCTTCTTGTACACATCCCACCCTGTTGTCATATGTCTATATAGCAAAAATACTCTGAAAATTATAGTATCCCAAAGCTAGTGAGTTAGTCATAGCTAGTGAGTTTCTAGATCTCTCTGTGGTCACAGCTCATGAGCTGGAGTTTTGTCTTTGGAATCTGAAGAGCTCTTTCCATTTGTTGTAAGTACATTCATTTAACTGGCATGTTCTGAGTGCCAGTGTGCTGCCAGGCCCCATTCGAGGTGCCCGTTTATAATCCAGCATGGTATGCACGATGGTTCTGCCAGGCTGCTGGAAAACTAGCCCTAGTTAGCATGTTGGTGCTTAAAACACGCCTTTCCGAAGCACTCTGGGCCTGCTTTCTTGGGGGTAAATGAGAATTACCAAACGGAAACGACAACCACAACCCCAGAAGAAAATTTCCTCCCCAAGCTCAAATGTCTGTGTTCCTCAGGATCGGTTCCAGATCTCTTCCCACTCCAGTTTTCCTGGATGACGTAATCCACTCCCATGGCTTCAAATGCCATCTTTCTGCAGATGACTCCAAAATCTGTATATCCAGCTTTGATTTTGCACCTAAAATCCAACTCCATAGATTCAGTAGCCATTGGGATCTACCCATAGTTCTCTCTTGAGACCACTCACTTCTAACACAGTGGCTTTCACTCCTGCTTCTAATGCAGTGGTTTTCAAAGTTCTTTCACCATGACTTAGAGGAAAAAACATTTTACATGAAGGATGCGTGCGCGCACGCACACGCACACACATGCATACTCATACGCACGCACACGTTCATCTAAAACAAAACTTTCATGAAGTAATACTTATCCTTAACTATTTGTAACTGAGAAAATAGTTTCTTGTTATGACTTGAATTGATTTTATGATGTTCTAATGAGTCACAACCCACAGTTTATAAAACACTGTTCTAGTGTGCCTTCTTCTCCTCCAGAAATTGGAAAGCTAAAAATATACTTTCCCTTAGTCCCTTGCAGCTTGGTCTCTGATATAGTTCAGTCTGAGATGGACAAGATTTTGGAATGTTTGTCCATGCAGTCAGCAAGCATGGCTGTGGAGGTGCTTGGTTTTTCTGCAGCTGCTTTGCAGAGGTTTCAATGTTTAGATACCAGCTTGGTAGTTGTAGCAGAGTCGGGGTGGGGAGTGGGCCACCATCCTGCTGACGTAGTCTGTAGCAGATGCACGTTAGTTCTAGAACGAGCGGCAGCAGCAGCTTCCTGTTTGTGGTGGCTTCCTGTTCAAAACAGTGATGCTGTGTTTTCAAGGAGGCAGCTTTCTGATTGCAAGAACACTGAAGAGATAGCAGTTACCACGGCAGCCTGGTTCCCACTAGTGGCTTTAGAGGTTGCTCCTGAACGCTCCTGAAATCTCAGCTTGGATTATGTTCTCTCAGTCCTCCTGACAATTACATAAACTGCTTAATTTCCCATGATGAATCGCTTCTTGTTAAACAAACTAGAGTAAAGTCTATTCTCTGCAACTGATCTCTGATGGATACACACCTCAGTCTCAACATGTGTAAAACTGACTTCATAATACTCACCCAAGCCTACCACTGTTACTATGTTCCAAATCTCAAGAACTATCTCAGTCTCTCATGACCTTTCTTTTCCATTCCCCACCAAATCAACATCTCTCCAATTCAGCCAGTTCTCTAGCCCCAGTTCCTATCATCTTACTTGTACTACCCTAATCACCTCCTGACTCAAACCCTCGCCTCCTGTCTTGCTCCTTACAAATTCCATCTTCATACAGCAATAATAACTCTCCATTGTTCTTGAGATTGATAATGATAGTTTATCAAGCTCTTACATGTTATGCACTTTTCATGGGCTCACTCATTTACTCCTCAGAATACCTCTATGAGGTAGACATTATTTTCCCCATGCAGCAGACAAGGAGATTGTGAGTCCAAGACATTGAGTAACATAGCCGACATCACCCAACCAATGGGGGTTTCAAGCACCAGTTTGTCTAAATCCACATTCCAGGCTCCAATCACTACAAGTACAGCCTTTCTAAACTCTCAGCTATTTAAACCAGATCCTTTCCATCTAGATCCGGTCTCTTTCTCTAGCTTCATCTGCCCACCCACCTCCACTTTCTGTGCTCTATGCTCAAACCTCACTGAACTTTTTTCAATTCCTCAAACCTTCTGCATTCACCAGGTCTTTGCAGATGTTCTTCCTCATGCCTGGGATACTCATTTCACTCTCTTTTACTTGATTAACTCTTATCATTGTCTGCTTGCCATTTAAATGTCACCTCTTCAGAGGAGTCTTCCCTGACCCCTCTAGCCTCACGTAATTCCCTGCTTTCTTCTTCCAGACTTCTTCCATCCTTAATGCATGAAATTTTATTGTTCATTACTGATTCCCCCTATACATCTTTTGCAACATCCAAACTCCCTGAAAACAGGATTGTTTAAATCCTTGCTACTCCCTGAAAACAGGAACCAGATCGATCTTATTCAGCACTGGGTCCCCGCAGTCCAGCCTAACTGAGAAAACTTGAAACACAGGCCCATGATAGGGGAAAAGATCTCAAATAACTCATCCAGAAAAAAACAAGGAACTGTGAATTGAAAGTCATCGTTTTTCTTAGAAATGTTTTTCAGCACTCAGGGGAGAAGGGTGAAATTTTCAGAAAACAGAATTCACTTGTGTCATCGGAGAATTTAGACAGGAGAAAATCAAACTTTCACTTACTTTGCGGATTCCCTTCTATGAGTCAGGTGTAGTATATCTGCCATAAAAATTTCTTCCCTCACCTATGAATCCGCCATCATGGCCCAGTTGCCATAGAGTTGACCCTGACTCATGGTGACTCCATGTGTCTCAGAAAAGAATTGTGCTCCATAGTGTTTTCAATGGCTGATTTTTTTTTAAGAGTAGTTTTCTTTTTTTATATATACATAGAGATATATTTCATTATTTTTAACTGCTATGTAGTATTCCATTTTATAAATATACCATATGTCCCTTTTTTATTATTACTTTTTATTGTACTTTGGATGAAGATTTACAGAACAAACTAGCTTCTCATTAAACAATTAGTACACATATTGTTTTATGACATTGGTCACCAACCCCATGATATGTCAACACTCTCGCCTTCTTGACCTTGGGTTCCCTATTACCAGCTCTCCTCTCTCCTCCTGCCTTCTAGTCCTTACCTCTGGGCTAGTGTGCCCCTTTAGTCTCATTTTGTGTTTTATGGGCCTGTCTAATCTTTGGCTGAAGGGTGAACTTCAGGAGTGATTTCATTACTGAGCTCAAAGTGTGTCTGGGAGCCATATTCTCAGGGTTTCTCCAGTCTCCTTCAGCCCAGTAAGTCTGGTCTTTTTTTGTGAGTTAGAATTTTGTTCTACATTTTTCTCCAGCTCTGTCCTGGACCCTCTATTGTGATTCTCATCAGAGCAATCAGTGGTGGTAGCCGGGTGCCATCTGGTTGTGCTGGACTCAGTCTGGTGGAGGCTGTGGTTCATGGGGTCCATTAGTCCTTTGGACTAATCTTTCCCTTGTGTCTTTGATTTTCTTCATTTTTCCTTGCTCCAGATGGGGTGAGACCAGTGGAGTATCTTAGATGACCACTCACAAGCTTTTAAGATCCCAGATGCTACTCACCAAAGTGGAAGGTAGAACATTTTCTTTATAAATTATGTTACACCATTTGAGCTAAATGTGCCCTGAGACCATGGTCCCCACAGCCCTCAGCCCAGTAATTCAGTGCCTGAGGGAGTTTGGATGTGTGTATGGAGTTTCCATGACCTTACCTTGGACAAGCTGTGCTGGCTTCCCCCGTATTGTGTACTGTCTTACACTTCACCAAAGTTACCACTTATCTATTGTCTACCTAGTGTTTTTCCATTGCCTCCCCCCCTCCCCCGTCACCATAAGAGATTGTTTCTTTTTGCGTGTAAACCTTTTCATGAGTTTTTATAGTAGTGGTCTCATACTATATTTGTTCTTTTGTGATTGACTTATTTCACTCAGCATGATGCCCTCTATATTCATCCATGTTGTGAGATGCTTCGCAGATTCATCATTGTTCTTTATCGTCACATAGTACTCCATTGTGTGTATGTAGCATAGTTTGTTTATCCGTTCATCTGTTGATAGGCATCTAGGTTGTTTCCATCTTTTTGCTATTGTGAACAGTGCTACAATGAACATGGGTGTACATATGTCTATTCGTGTGACGGCTCTTAT